CTTCCCGTAAGCATTTAGAACGCGTTTTTAGCAGTTCTAAATCTCTAAACGCATCAAGCCGAGATGCCGTCTTGTCACGCTCTCGCTTAGACCAAGTTTTGATGAGGCTCGTCGAGCAAAAACCGTCTCTAAACTTTAAATCTAGCAGGGGGGGTCGACCCCCCTTTCCAAATCTCCAGACGACTCTAAACGCTCGCTTAGCCTCGGTTGAGGTCCGCGTATCAAACCTGCCATCAGCACCTGCTAAATTGAGCGATCCGCTCGCCATAAATGGAAAGCGACCTCATGGTCGTGACTTGCAGTCGTCGAGCGTTGGTCTGGCATTACGGATGGGAGGAACAGTTCTATTTTTCCATTGCACCGTGGCAGCGAGTGTGACCAGGTACGCTGATGGCGTTTAGAACTGCGAAATCTAGGATTTTGGCTTACGGGAAGTCATCCAGTATCACATCCAAGTCTTTCGTAGCTGCGGTGCGACCACGTCGTCAGGCGCTCTGTAGCACCAGTACTAGTGTTCCTGGAGAGGGGACATAACATCTAGCGAAGCTGGTGGGTCGTGCCGTGCCGACCCAGGCCGGCTGGCGGGTTTCAAATGGATAGGTAAATCAGAAAGCCTCAAGGGTGAGCGGTGGCAGCAATAGCGGGGAGAGCGGGGAAGAGAGGTGGATGGGATCCCTTGGTCGATGAATGTCCGGTAACCTTGGCGTCGCTTGATGCAGAGGTCCAATTCCAGAACTACGGGCACCATTTGCTTGCTGGCGGATGCTTGGCGGTTGATATGCGTATGTACTCGCGGTAACGGCGACGGGCCATGGGATTTTGGGTGCTTGGGCCACGACCGGGGGTCGTAACGAGGAAAAGTACACCTTTTGCCGCGTTGCCCCTGGAGAGATGGTTAAGGCATGGGAGGGGGAGAGATGGACTTGGAGTCGGCTAGCACGGGTGGCCTGCAGGGGGTGAATACAGCTTGAGTGCCGTGGTCACAGCGACCCTCGGACGACCCAGAAATTTATTCGACAAGATCAGTGGCCAGGAGAGAAAGTATCATGAAAGAGGACATCTCGGCATCACTGAGACCTTTCAAGTCTGTGCTATCCAATGATGTTTCTGAGGCTGTAGATCCAGACCACGTCCGAGTCGCCGCCCAGGCGTGGTACATGTACTAGTAGACTGCCAGCGCGAGGGATTGCGCGGGTCGCCAGAGGAGACCCTGTTCTTATCGAGAAATTGACGAGAGCTATTGTTTGTCCCCTGACGAAGTCCGCGGGGCTGAGTTACTACAGTCGAATCCCCGTTGTTCCATGACAAGATGTCCGAGGGAATGGCCCGAAGACTGACTTCGGGATCAGCCGAGGGACAGATACGCACGCCGCCATTGGTCCATCACTCCTCAGGATCTAAGAAGCGCCCCCAACTTGAAGGTCACCTGCGGGGCGAACTCCCGCCGCTTCCTGTACTCGAGGCCTTAGGCTTAAACACCTGCCTGACGCAAGAAGGGCCCTGCAAGGAAATTCAGGTCGCAGCGTACTCGCAAGAGCCTAGATCCTCATCCCGATACCCCCTCCTCTCACTCGTCAAAGCCATATACGGAATATACACGTTAACATACTTACGCTGTGCTTACGCCTGCAGAGTCAGCATGGAGGCCGTTGCCGGCAGACATTGGTCACGTCAACGTGCTTCCTGCAGGGTCATTCAGGCAAGTCGCATAGGGAGAGAATTTCATTGTGTTTATGGTAAGTCGCCTAGAGAGAAAGAGAAATTTCGTGCGTTTATGGCAAGCCACCTATTGATCTGGTCAGTTGGAAGTAAAGACGCAGTAACAGAAGGGACGCCGGCTACCCTATGTCGTGCTCGACAGAAGCCAGCATTTTTACTGGGACTCCACTACGGTATCCGTTGCAGTATAAAAGGGCAAAGAGCTCGCAACTGTAGTCTCCTATCCCCCAGCAGGGCAACTAAGTCACAGTGCTCTACGTCTGAGTTGTCAACATGCAGCTTCTCTTTCTCATCCAGTGGGTTGTTCTGGCGAGTGTTGTAGCGGGTAAGATGTCCACTCGGTCTATCCCGACACTCATGACTGAGTGCCCGCCCAGCTCACCCCGGTGGTCATGGCCATATGAGCAAGCGTGAGCTTCAAGCCCGCCAGGAAGCCGCCCAACTGCGGGCCCTGCAAGCTCGCAAGTGTGCCTCTGCCATCGCCCAGTTCACAGCCCAGCGCAAGGCCAGGCGCGCCCTCAATAAAAAGAGGGAGATCATTTCATCGACCACGTTGAGCGCCGCGAGCGCTCACTACACGAACATCCAGAACGTACGAGACCCAGTTTCATGCTCTGAAAACCCATTTGCCTGACATTCCTTTCCAGGACACTTGCGTGACTGCTCCAGAGGTGACCGAAGGTCCCTACTATATCAACAATGAATTCATCAGGACCAACGTCACCGAGGGTCAAGCGTAAGCCGTTACACTTTCAAAATCAGGATTTGACGCTGACGAAAAAGTTCAGTGGTATTCCCTTCGTAATGGACATCGGCGTCTTAGATATCAACACCTGCGAGCCCTTGAGCAACGCCTTCGTAGAGATCTGGGGGGGTTAGTGTTCAGTTGCTTGCACTTAGAGATACTCACTCACCTCCCGCTGCAGCCAACGCCACAGGTGTGTACTCTGGCTACTCTGCTACTCTCCCCGGAGCCCCTGAGCCGGGAGCGACTACCACATCGTCCGGGTGGGCGGCACCGACTGGTTATTTCCCGGCGCCGTACGAGAGGAACGAGACTTTCCTTCGTGGAGGTTACACGACCAGCGATACTGGCGTTGTGGAATTGGTCTCTATCTACCCCGGCTTCTATGCGACCCGTGCGCCTCACGTCCACACCATGGTCCACACCAACTGGGAGATGTCTGACAACGGGTTGGTGATCGTTTTATATCTGATGTAATGGCGTTGACGTGTTCGCCCTTAGGACATTGGTTTCGCATGGCGGGAACGTGGTGCACATTGGGCAATTCTTCATGGATGATAGCTGGAACGACCAGGTGTACGCCCTTGCGCCGTACAACACCAACAAGAACACCAGGACTTTCAACTCCGAGGACAGCATCCTGGATCAGGAGAACGCTGATGGCAACAATGCGTTCTTCAAGTGAGTCTACCTTGTGATTTCATGCTGCGGCTTTTGATCGCGGGCGATTTAGTCTTGAGTTGCTCGGCGAAGATATATCTGAGGGTGTCCTTGGTTACATCAGTTCGTGTATCCAGTCATCCATTGCGAACGTATCCTGACCCTCTGTGTCCAGCCATGGGCGTTAACTCGTCGGCCTCCTACGAGATCTTGAACACGAACTACTACAACACCTCTGATGCCGCTACAACTACTACTATCTCCACGAGCGACTTGCACAGCGACGTTGTGACTGAGTTGTGAGACGCGCAAGAGCTATCGCATAGTCTCCCTTTTGATTGAATCTCAAAGGGTATATGGCATTGTCGTAGTCCCCATGTTTCATGGAACATGTCATCACGCGTACGTCGTCAATAACAGCATTAGATAGTTGCCTTGGAATACGTCCCTGGGACGCGACGACGACTACTTCCGGTTTCATTATGGACTGGGCGTTTCGGGGGTCGAAGTCATGCCTTATCGGCGGCGAAACGGGCCGCCTCGAAGCTTCCGGCATCCAGTCCCAAATTTAATACTCCCAATGTCCTCTTCGGTACCCTATTCATTGTTTATAGTCACTGCAACACTAGTCTAAGCGAAGAAAGAACCTACTATCCTGACAATGGTTATGCGACTGCCCCACCTCCGCGCTGAGCCTTCATATCGCAAGCCATTCATCGAAGGACTTTGCTGGGAACAGAAGAAGACTACAACAAGTGAGTCATCCAAAGCCTTCAGCGCTCCTCCTACCAAGAGGCAAACCATTCATGGTTCTGTAGAATCTGGCAGAGTCGAAGACCCGTGGTTGCACGTCCCAGCTCGTCTCGAAGATTCGTTACTGCTTTCTACGGGCTTGTGCCCCGAACCTCCCGCGGTCAAGCCATGCTACAATCCGTACGACTCACAGTACAAGAGTTTAGTAACCTCGCACCGGGATGTTTCTCCTCATGCCACCAGGACCGACGACAACTTGCGCCTAGCTATAGAGATGGAACGGTCCAGACAGCCCGGTGCGACGGGATGTTTGCCGAGCAGACGTCTACCGCAACAACAGTACCACGTTGACCTACCGCGAGCATTAAGAAAGGCATCAGGAAGGGTTTTGTCACCTCCACAGAGCACGTATGGCGGCTGGATGGGTCAAGGAAAGGATAGAAGAGATCCCAGATGCTGTATTAGTGTATAATCGGGAACAGAGTGTATTTGTTCAGGGCATGATTTCCCTTAGAAAGTGGGAGTCTGCGCTGAAAGATTGATATCACAAGAACGTTTGAGCCAACGTGTGTAGGGACAGGTTTGACAGCAAAAACGCCACTGTGGCGTTTCGACGCGTCCCCTCTATTTGTCGGTGTTTGACCTCATCCTGGGAGAAGCGCGTCGGGACGCGTCTCGCTAGACCTACCAGACTCAGCGGTGCAAAACTATGGAATCTGCCCCGTACGTCCTTCTTTCAAAACTCAGCCGCAGCACTTTATGACAATGTAGACCCAGTTCTGCCCGGCTCGTCACCTCCGTCCTTCCACCTACCGATTGGACGCCTTCGTTCTCGCTTGGAGGGGTCAATAAATCATACAAACACCAGTATGCCAACATCTACTTCGTGCGCCTTAGATTGCTGAGGAAAGAGGTGGAGAGGCGGGCTCAAGCACGGTGGAAAGACGTCAAAGGTGAGTCCGCTCGGACATGACCTAGGCTATGTTCGCAATGAACGTCAACGTTAGCTAACAGCCACATTTGCCAGGTGCACCTGTGCTGGTTCCTCGAGTTCTGGACGTCTTAAAATCTCAACTATGCTATATTGTCGGGACGGTATACATGGATATGCCTCTAAAACCGAACGTATTGGAGGATATCGGGAGAGACGTACGTCCAGGCGTCTCCATGCCGTCCCGCATGTATGCTCACTGAAAGCTAGCGATCGATACCGCCCCCGCCCCCGCGAGAAAAGATATATTCTGCTGACGATATCATCTCACTGGAGGACGAATCAGGTCGTATACGTTTAATCGGTGAGCCGGTAGAGCAGGCTCGGCTGGTCACAGGCGTCATCGTGGCCGCCTTGGGGTTGGAAACTCCGAATGGAGATTTCCAGGTAGTTGATATCTGCCCAGCTGGATTAGCCCCACAATCGGACACTGAACTAGCAGATGAGGATGATATGGAGGTCGATGGTGTGTGATCCACATACCTGCTCGTTCCCAGATTTCCTGCCGATACCTATAGCTGACCCTGATCTCCAATGCAACCATATCGTCCTCAGGTGCTGAAGATGAATGGATAGGCGTGGTATCTGGTTTGGATATTGGTTCTTCGTCTCCCGCGGATGCCCCTATCCAGATGCTGGCAGAATATCTAACGGGAGAAGTAGGCGGACGAGAAGACCAAGCTTCTTGTGCAAAAATATCTCGCCTGATAATCGCTGGTAACTGTCTGTCGCCCGCTGCGAGCACGCTCGATGGGGATACTGTAGGGGACAAGAAAACTGTCAGTAGCCTTTTCGTAGTGACCATGATTATTGTCAGCTCATCCTTGTCTACGCAATGTAGCGACGATACGGCCATGATAACACCTCATTCTCGCCACACCCCATTCTGAACCTTTCCTCATTCCTACTAGACGTTGGTTCTTGCATGCCGATTCACTTGCTTCCTGGCGACTCAGATCCTACCGGTGCAATTTTGCCTCAGCAGCCGCTTCCTCGTGCAATGCTGGGCGCTGTTTCCTCCTATTCCACCTTCTCCTGCGAGACAAATCCCACCTACCTACGCATTGCCTCTGGATCCGAAGGCTCGTCTACAGCACCGTCGACATCGTCGAGCTCAAAAAAGCAGTACACCCGAACCATACTGGCCAACGCGGGTCAACCTCTAAGCGATATGTTCAAGTATTTGCCCACTCCACCGGCCACGAGACTGTCTATCGCGGAATCAACCCTGCGATGGCGGCACATAGCTCCAACGGCACCTGACACCCTATGGTGCCATCCGTACTTCACGACAGACCCTTTCGTGATTCAGCAAACGCCGGATATATACATTGTCGGCTGCCAACCAAAGTTCCAGACGAGCTTGATTTCGGAACGCGGAATTCCTGGGCTGAAGTGGGAGGAAGCCGACAAACGTTGTCGCATCGTTCTTGTGCCCAGATTTTCAGAGACGGGACTCCTGGTGTTGGTCAACCTACGGACATTGGACGTTCAGACCGTGCAGTTCGATGTCGAGGGCATGGTGTCCGGAGGAGGTGAGGTGGATTCATAACGTGGTTCGGCCACGCTGGCTGTCATGTTACAGTAGTCCTGCACACATGTTGAGGCTCGTTGGGCTGCTTATTTTATTGATTATTATCCATGCTTGATCGGAGAGAAGGTATAAGTGAAGCGGTAATTGTGGCTGTGCAACATCCACTAGAGTCCCTTCCGCCACCACTGCGCGTAACAGCTGCGGGCAGCTCATTACTGGCTTTACGACCGTCTTGTATCTTGTCGCGGACATACATGTTCAAACTGCGCCCCAACCTTGCTGCGCCCTTCGGGCTACTAGGGGACGAGGCGAAACTATCATTTCGGAGTCAAGCAGGGGGTATTGCAAAGCTAGCCTCGACACGCGTGAGTCTGTGATATCATGGGGAGTGAGATTGTGGCTGAGAGTACGAAAGAACATCTCTGGGACGGATGCCTATTGGAATCAAGTGCGTTATATAGTGTACGGTCATGTGTCTCATTCTAACACAGACCTTAATCATAATGGTAGTACGTCGAGTTGTTCGACTCTGCGTCCGACGTGTTCTCTCTCATATCGCCCAATGATAGTATGTATCCAGTTATAGTTAAAACTACTAGCTATTGAAATAACGTGCGATTAGTCCGCCGGGCGTTACTAGAGGCACCTGAGAATGTGGCCACTCTAATCCGCGTTATATCGACCCGACTCTTCAATCTGGTCTCTGACCATACCTTCCCATCCTCCAGCAATCCCTCAGTCGCCTCCCTGGCCACATCTGTGACATCCTTCATAAAGAGCGGTGCTGGTGAACGCAACACAACGAAGGAGGCGCTGAATTGTATCCGTGTATTGCAGCGAGTGTTTCCTGTTGTCTTCGAGTTAGAGGGGGAAGCAAGTAGATTCGAACTTGAGGTCTTATGGAAGAAGGAGGAGGCACCAGAAGACCATGTTTCCGAGAACACCTCAAGTCCCCAATTTGTGATCGAAGATGAAGATGACGATGAAGAACACGAAGGTGCCCCGCAGCCCTACAGCCCTCAACTATCACAGCCCAAGGCAACGAAGACACTTCCTTCCCTTGCCGAGAGACTCTTTAGTTGCTTGATTGATCTGATGTTTTGCTGTGGATTTACTCTCCCAGTGAAGTTACAGGTTGACCACTACAAGATAAACTACGTGATTTGGTACGTACTACAGCCCACACATTTAGTACGATTGATGCCAGCCTAAGTGCAATCGCAGGGAGAAAGGTGTTGGGTCGACAGTGGATCCAGGTCCTAGTCAGAGCTACGACTCGAACAAAACGGAGGTCCTCCGACTCTTGCTCGTTCTGTTTTCCAAACAGATTTATGTTCCTCCCTCTGGACTGCTATCCACACCGTCACCGTACACGTTGCATTTTGTGCAACATACACCTCGTCGTGACGTTCTAACGGTGCTATGTTCTCTGCTCAATACGGCCATGAACTCACATGTTGTACCTGCGAACATAATGAGTGGCATGACCACCAAGCTTCCATACAACCACCTCGTGTTCAAGGGGGAAGACCTGCGCGCGACACTAGTGGGCACATGCTTACAGGTTCTCTGCGTCCTGCTTGATTGTCAAAGTGGAAGCGCGCGGGACCTCGTGGTCGAAGGTGGTGATATCCCTATATCGACCCCTACCTCTAGGACGAACGCTTTTCGGTATTTCCTGGCCAAGCTTGTACGTGTACTACATGTCTTTCTCATCCCCACGAACTCAATACGATGTTGTTATTCGGATAGCATAGAACACAAGACTTCACGTTCATTGCCGATGGGATCTTAGCCATTCTTCAGGAACAGATGGCTTCCTTCAACAATCTCCTCCCCGGGTCTCGAAAACCTGTTCCGTATATAGTCGATACTAGTGAGTCAACCCTCAATTGTGCCCAATTCGTGGATCAACTTAACCATTTGTTTAGTCGTCCTTTTCTGGAAGATGATTGAACTGAACAAGGTATTGGTATCATCTACTGCGGTTCGATTGAAGCTTAGCCACACTTCCCAAACAGAAATTCCGTGTTTACATCTTGGAGACCGATAAAGGCATGGATATAGCAGCTTATCTGTTATGCTATTGCCTTGAAATCAAAGACAAACCTCGTAAGCGTATCAAATATGATTGATCGTGACCTCCTCGTCATTCGATTCTCGCCAGAACAGCATGGCTTATGCAGAGCTATCTCATACATCATTCAGACATTATCGGCGGAACGCAGCTTCGGTCTGAAATTGATCTCCCCGGTGAAAGCCCAGCTTCCCGCGAAATGGCAGCCAGTCGGTACGGCTGGTGATTTCATGGTAAATGTGAGTGTCTGCACTTCTCTTGCTTCACACTCGACTGAGTTCTTGTCCCGACAGGCCATCTACGCGATCGTGGCGACCACTTCAGGCGCGCTCAACTCATTGTATCCGGCGCTCATTATCGCCTTATCGAACTGTGCGCCGTACTTCAAGAATTTAAGCGTCACGGCCTCCACTCGTCTGGTCCAGCTCTTTACCTCATTTTCTAGTTCTTTGTTCCTACTGTCGGATGAGGGTCATCCGAGGTTACTCTATTTCATGTGAGTTGGCATCATCACACACTTCGGGACAAGCTCACCTGTGCTAGGCTGGAGGTCTTCAACGGTGTGATATTGCATAACCTGAGCGACAATCCACACCTCATCCATGCTATCCTGGGCTCGCATAAGGTCTTCGAAAATCTGGGTACGTTCACCTTGGCAAGAGGGCTCCGTGACGTGCGACGGGCCCAACAAGCCAAGGAAGAGCAAGCTCGAAGAGCGCAAAGCGGAGGCAACGAATCTGAGAGCACCCGCGCAAGTCGGAAAGAGAAAGCGAAACTGCTGCAAAGAGATAGCGACAATGCCCTCGGGCTTTCGAGAGGGAACCCGTCGGAAGAAAGTACCGGTAGTTCGGGCACAGCTCAGAGGAGTGCATCTGAAGATGATTCTCCTTCAACACGTCCGTTGATGTCTCCCACCACGGGCGAGGCTCCGACACGCCCGAGCACTCCGCCGGCAGCATCTGAAAAGGCAAGAGGCAAAATGAAGGAAAGGCGATCCATGTCTATGGATGAAAGCCTGGAGCGCATAGCTGCTGCTGGTATAGGCCGGAACGGTTTCGTGCCTACACAGGAATGGGTGACTTCTTGGCAGCAGGGGTCAGTACATCCGCTATCTTGCTGCGTTATGTCTTACCGAGTTGCTGCTTAGGCTCCCGTTGGACCCTATTATGCTGGTGATTTCGGAGCTCTTTCCCAAAGTCCAGGATATACAGAATGGGCGGCATAAATCCATTTCGCCCTCTGCTATTGTCGACTTCCTATCGAATGTGACTTTAAAGGATGTACTACCGCCTCCTCCTCCAGTGACACCCCGACGATTCATTGTGAGTGTTGGTTTCACCTGGTCTCGCAACCGTCTGAACCTCATCTGTGCTCAGTGGTCCGATGCATCGATTGTATGGCTTACTTCACTCATGTGGGGTGAGATATATGTCAGGGGCATGACGCCGCTCGGGATATGGAACTCGACCAATGTGCGCTTGTTCTACGTGAAGCACACTCAGACACAACAGCTTCAAATCAAAGAAGCTGTTTCGAGCGTAGTGGGTGGGCTCCTGGGACGTTCCCCGGGTGGAGAGGGGTCGCCTGGAGGGCGCCAGCGCCCCAGCGCGTGAGGTGCAATGGACAGGGCTGCTCGAAGAAAGAAGACAACCTGACCTGTATATATGTGCTCTCATATTTCAGCGGATTGATATCGTCTTGTGTATAGCTACGTTACTCTACTGCGTAGTGCGACTGGTTCCGCATTTTGAGGGGCGTGAATGTGGCTGTGCCGCCATCATTGATCAGCGTCAATTACTATAGAAGTCCAACTTGGTTTCAGCCACGTGTACACCCGCAAGTCAGTATATTCAGACGTCTCCCCTCCCGCATTGTCCAGCTTTCACAAGTAGCTTCATATCACGCAATGGAAAATATGCCTTATCTCAGCGCGGCGCAGAGAGGGATGCTGAAAAGAGGTACCACAGTCGCCCTCGTCAAGTGACCGTGAATCCTCACCGTTGATTGCCTAGCGAATATCACGAGTGCGTCCGACATAATGATAATGTCGACCATAGACCTTACGAAGAAATGCAAGATGACACCTGCAGACGCAGACGCTGTGAAGGAGGCGGTCTGTAAAGCGTATCGTAAACCTTCACGTTTACTAGAGGAAGTTGCTCATCGCGGGCGAGAGACTTTCACAACGGGCGACTCAGTATTGGACCAAGCCCTTGGAGGCGGACTCAGGACGGGTATGGTCTGGGAGATTGCCGGCGAAAGGTAGCTATTCGCGGTTCGCGGAACGCTTATGCTGAAAACTGTCCACAGTGCAGCAGGCAAAACCCAAATTGCCCTGCAGGCATCCCTCTTCGTTCAGCTTCCTATGGAGCTCCGAGGCTTATGCGGATCCGCTTGTTATCTGACGACGTCCTCAAAACTGCAAACGACTAGGCTCAGTCAAATACGTACCTTGCATCCGGCACTTTCGTCAGCACATTGTGGTCTTTCGGATATACACACATTGACTACTTCCACGCTGCCCATACTCATCCACGCGCTGTCAACTACCTTTCCGGCGCTCCTCAATCAGATCTCGGGCGACAGTGGGAAGAAACCAGTGAAACTTCTCGTGATTGACGCTCTGACGGAATTATTCCATTCCGCCAAGAAGACCACAACAAACACGTTGGTGGAGCGTTCTAAGAACATCTCAGAGATATCTGTGCTCCTCCATACAATCGCAAGTGAACACCAGATCGCTGTATTGGTCCTGAACGAGGTGGTCGACGTCATAGATCAGGGACCAGGAGATGGTCTTGCCGATGAAACTGACCTAGTATATCGAGACCAAGCTCGCTGGTTCAACCGTGCTGACAGCATCCCAGGAGAAGATAGGAAAGAGGCAGGGCTTGGTCTATCATGGGCTAATCAGGTTAACGCACGAATAATGTGTACGCGCACGAACAGGCACAGAAATCTGCACGATTTCGCCCACAAGCGGTCTCGACACGATTCTGCACTCTCCATCTCTGACTCTCCACTTCCTACGGACTCTACGAGCCTGGTCCGACGTTTGACGATCATCTTCAGCTCTGTGTCGGCTCCGACGTCCTTGGACTACGTTGTCACAGCCGCCGGGGTATTCACCGTCGATGACATCGCTTCAGTATCTTCAACTCGTCAATCCTCCCGGAAACGGACTGCATCTGCCCTTGAAGAATGCGCCCCACAGGAGGGTCCAGAGCCCGCCATGAAAAAGATGACTCAGGAACTGGAGGAACCGCTCCCTGAGGCGGAATCATGGGCGGACTCTGATGACTTATATCCCGAGCTAGACATGGCTCTGCTCGATGCTGCAGAGACAGAAATAGCATGACTCTCTAATGTCGGGCCTACCATTCATATCTGAGGGAATAAGCAGCGTATCCGACATGCGCCACGGTTCTACCTACAGGCTACGGCTTCTTATAGGGAGTACGACGGACTTCACTCAACAAAGGCTTTGCATACCTCATAAATGAGGTCGTGCATTATGTATGGTATGTATATCATGGCAGTTCACTACTCATTCGCAGCTACATCCAGACCGAGCCAAAGACGGGCTATCGATGTGACCGTTACGCTCCTATACCCATCCACCTAGTTCAACAGCGAAAGCCACAGCGACCTTGGAGAATTCCAGTGCATGCTCGAAGCTGAACTCGCCGTTTGGAAGGTGCATGGTATCGTTGGCGCCGTGGATGTATGGGTCGAACTCTGTGAAGGGGTCTCCTTCAGTTGCAAAAGCGCCAGCATACCCAGCCTTGTGCCACGACATATGGTCGGAACCAGCACCGGGTACCAACTTGGCACCTGCAAGGACAAACATATGGCGTTAAGTCAAAGTACTGTATTCAAGGTGGCACATACGTTGAACGGGGTAGTCAGCGTATTCCTCTGCCAAAGAAATCACGTATTCGGTGAGAGGTATATCGACGTCGTTAGTGATGAGAGCGACAGTAGCCGTGTGGTTCTGCTTGGTATAGGCGGTCATATCGAATTGAATCATGGCACGAACATCCCTCCCTAGCCTCTCGTATTCAGCAGCTACTTGGCGGGACCCAAGCAAGCCACCTTCTTCCGCTGCATACCAGTGGAATTCTACCGGGTATTCAGGTGTGAATCCTTTCTCGACGAGGGCTCTGAACGCCTCGAGGATGGTGACAGTGCCGCTGCCATCATCGTCAGCTCCCGGGGCGGGAAGAAGCGGGAAGCGGTAGTTGGCGGAATCTTGGTGTGCGCCAATAATTACTGCTGCTGTCTTATTCGGAGAAGGATACTTTGGCTCAAACCGAGCGATAACGGATGACTGAGGGAAGGGGTTGGTGAATTTACGGATGGACAATGGCGTTGAAGCTGGCGCTTTCGCAATAATCTAGGTTCGTTAGGATAGGAACTGTCAACTGGCGTACGAACAGTAGTGCTAGACCGGATCCACCTACGTCCAAAACCTGCAAGTAAAGCCAATGGCTGCTGGCAGCACCGTTCTCACTTCTGTAGAACCGATTGAAGAAGCTGGTGAACTTCTCGAGGTTGTCGTACATATTCTGGGTGGTCAGGTTGGAGATAACATCTCGGACTTGGGACTGGTACGAGATGGGCGGGTATTCTGAGACTGTAGGTTATAGGAGCGTCCTTTGGGGATTGCTTGTACCACTCACCTGCAGCCTCCTTGACCCTGACAGCATTCTTCTTGCCCAGATCCCTAGTTTCCGTTATGTCCGTGAACTTGAGGCCCTGCTGATGCAGCCTAAGCTTGTCCCCCTCGGTCGCCCACTCGGCCTCGTCTTCTGACTTGTGAAGCTCCCAAACATACAGTAGACGCGGCTCATCCAGGTCAGAAGCTCCAGCAGGGTCCACTAGTTTGTAGAGCTCTACGGGGTCCGAAGTCAGCCCAGAGAACTGCTCTATCCGTTCCAGCAGCTGCCCATCTGAGAGAGGTGCCTCCGCGTGTGCAAGGTCGTCGCTCTGGCTGAGAACGGCCTGGGATCCCAAAGCAGTTGCCGCCGCCAACCCCGTGGAAACCGCGAGCAGAACGAACGACGCTGTGAGCTTCATCTCAGTCGCTGGTCTCAACACAAACGCAGGTCAGCCAGGTGATGGGTCCGCGAGAACACCGCCGTTGTGCTCAGCTTATATAAAGCCGCAGCTCCCTCAAGTGCACACGTTACTAACGTTAGCGATAACGCGTCAAGTTCGCGACAGATAGCGTGGTTCGCGTAAGTAGGTGGTTGAATGCTGCGCAGGTCACCAGTTCCTCTGTTGCAACTTCCAAATATCTCTATACAGTGTTCATACATGAGTACCATTGTCTTGTGTCGTGAGCCAATCGAGGAGTAGGAGTAAGGGACTAAAAGTACACAGGCAACAAAGGAAGACAAAGCTTCGCGGAGTAGGGTATGCCATGCAAAGGTAAAGATACGGCGTAATGACGAGACCGTAGAAGAAACGACAGATGACCTTGATCATTAAATAGACGGCACCGTGTACCCTCCAACGCGCAGGCTCTAACGTGTCAAGTCCAAGAAGAAGGTGCGAGACAGCGGAGGCCGACACCTTCATGCGCTCGTTGACGGAGTCTCGCTGCCGAAGGTGTTCTCGCCTGAGTAGCTGACGTACAGGAAGCCATCCTCGTCCCTAGAGATAATCGATGTGGCGTGGTCAGTATCAATTGAGGCTGCCTCCGGGGAGAATACGAACTTGTGCTCCTCGTAAATGGCGGACATCAGTGCTGCTGTTGGTGGTAGGACCTCGTCCACGAAGATGAAGATGGCCTTCTCCGGGGCAAGCTTGATACGCTTCCGGATAACGTAGACGAACTGGCCCACTGTCAGATCCTATGAGGCCACCCATCAGTCCGGCATATCACATCGTGTCTCCTCTGTGAACGCACCGACGGCACCAAGTACTTCTTCTTGTCAATAGTGGGGATGTCTGTTCTGTCGGCCTTCTCGCAAATGACCTATTGATAGATGGTGCATGGGAGTCAATGTCAACGATGGAATCCACGGACACGATCAGAGCAACGCACCGGAATACGGTCTGGGTACTTCTGTCGAATGCGCTCCGCCTCAGCCTTGCGCTTCTCTGCGCGGTACGATACATGACATCAGTCGAGGTCCAGCGACCAATAGCTACGGCGGGTGCGCACGTACCAAAGGGGTGCTCATCCTTGAACTTCGACCGCATGGTTATCCGAGAGAAAGAGAGAACGGGATTCTAGCTTTATAGGCAGGAACACGTTCCGGGGCGGCAGCGGCAGAGGGGTTGGGTGACGATGGTCAATGAGGTTGAGGAGATCGTGCACCAGACAACGCGGCAGCCTCGCCCGAAACAAGAAGGCTGCGGTGAAACAGACGTAAACAACGCCAGCCACTGCTCGACGTCGCCGTCCCCGCCGCCAACAAATTGGGCGAGCTCAGTAATTCTGCTATTGTTCTGAGCCATCACGGCGACTGACTAGTACTGACTCAGGTTGCGGTGGATATGTCACCCTTGCGGTTGTTGTGAGCTGCACCGGCTGATCTTGCTCTCCTTGTTCTCTGATCTGGTTACCATCATGCTCGTTCTGTCGCTTTGGCCTGCGGTCATGTCGCTTGAGGCCCGAGGCTTGAAGGACTGCATGATCTCCTTTTGTGAAGCTTGTTCTGTCAGTTGATTATTAACATCCGCCTTCCACAGGATCAACTTCGGCTCGAAAGCAGTCTCGCACTGATATCCTTTGCATTGGCGGGTGCTTTGTCGACGTTCTCTATGGATAAGATCCCTTAGGGAGATGAGGTCGTGCGCACTGCGACTCGACGATTGATCTGTCATTATTTCTGTGAGTGGATTCGGGGCTTCTATCTTGTATAATTGTACGGTGCTTGTCTCCAGCATCTCCCTACTTCGTTTCACCACATATACTGCTGTATATACACATTGCATGCGTGAATACGTACATGTTTTTGCATGCTGCTTGACCTGCATGCTTGAATACTGGAACTCACGGCCCTCGATCGCGTAGCACGTGATACCTATACTTGACGCCACGTCTAAAGTAGCTTCGGCTACCCTTGAGTCGCGCATACTGGACGGTCGCCGGGTGAGCCCAGGCAGCAAGACATCCACTACTAATCTGCTCGGTATCTCGCCGCTAGGGGCAAGAGAGCAGTACACAACTGGATAATTCGGCTCGCTGATCTGCCGTGAGGGACACTGCTGGCCCGGGAGGTGCGGCAGCTACGCTCCTCGAAATGGCACTCGTCAAGTTCTGGCTGCTACTATGCTTAGTTCAGGTAGCCTGGTCTCAACCATCCAACGAATCTGAGTCTCTGTTATGGGGTGCCTACCGTCCGGGCCTGTACTTTGGGCTTCGGCCAAGGCTCCCGCAATCACTCATGACCGGCCTCATATGGTTTGGTACTCAAGACTTCATGTCTGTCAGCCGTTCGTCTGCGAATACAATTTTGAGGGTATTCGTGGACTTAATTAGTGATCTATAGGGCCGCGACACGCGTGTGACCAAGGCGACGGTTTGGAGGGGTATACTTGGACGGAATACGACCCCCGGAAGGGAGGCGTTCAAGTACTGAATGATAAGCCGAACAATGTCAGGGTCACTACAGAGTTGATCAAAGTGCCTGGCGGGCACAATGGTGGCAGCTGGGCCGCTCGTATACGAGGAGAGCCAATGAATCCCGGTATGTGCGGGTCTGTCGCTGTGATGGGACATGCTTAACCAGGTATACCAGCCCATCCTTGCCGAACCTCGTTCATATTCTACGCTGGGCTGGAGGGACTTGGTGGGCTGGACATGGAGACAGACGAGGACGAAAACGTATGTGGCCCACTCTGGCACTTTACGCGCATTACCCATTTATGATTGCATAGGGATTGGAGGGACCAGTCAAATTCTCTGGTACATCACCAGACTTGGACGAATTCATACTTCGCATCGTAGATGGTATGCTCTCGTACCTCTGTTTATGGACGTTCCTCACATTTATACCTCAGGGCCCGACAATAAGCAGGTTACAGATGGTCCCTACTCGCACCTGTTCACCGACCGGATCGGTAAGACGCACTTTCTTGGACAACGCATTCCTTCAGGACAGATTTGGAAAGCAAGAGGTAGGGAATCTTCCATTTTTCATGTATTTCGTCGTCTTAAACGGAATATTACATTGCACAGACTTCATAATGCAGAACATAATTCAGCGCGCCCAGGGAATATTACAGGGGTATAAAGAGCCTCAAAAAGGAGCCCCTGATCCCTCCTTCGTGCTTCAGTTGACGGACGAAACGTTATTCGGAAGCAATCTCTACGCCGTGCAGAAGACGTTAGACGGGGAATTTCAATTCGACGTGTTTTTCGAGAGTGCAAGTGCAAATCATAAGCTTGACTGTCCGTATTTCCTATCTGTAACCAACCTACTCATGTCTAACATTTCTATCGCAGCATCCACCCTGGACAAAGGAATCCCAGCACTGCTGAAGACATTCGACGAACGCTTCAATGTGGTGTTCCCGGTGTCTGATTCCTACCCGACATCCGAGCACGAGGGTCTTCAGGCATTTTCCAAGGCGATTACCTCCAACCTAATGGGCGGTATCGGCTACTTCTACGGAACGTCTATTGTAGATAGAGGCTTTGCCTATGAATGGGATCAGGAGGATGATGCCTCGGATGACGAGGACGAGGAGAAGACGGCCAGGGGAGCACGTTTGACAGAGCCCCGGGCACTTCTGACCGCAACACCTAGCCGTAGCTTTTTCCCGAGAGGCTTCTATTGGTAAGCTAGCCCATAGAGTGTCCTGATACCAGTGCTAAGGTGTCTATCACCTAGGGATGAAGGATTCCACCTTCTCCACATTGGCGAGTGGGATAATGATTTGAGGTACGTCGCTGAGTAGCTACCCGCGTCCCTGCATTATGCCAACGTATTGGAAGTTTGGAGATTTTGAAGGATTGGGTCGATCTCATCGACGAAGATGGCTGGGTGGCGCGTGAGCAGATTCTTGGTGAGGAGGCTCGAAGCAGGGTGCGTTGTTTGCCCTATCGTGTATGAGATAGAAGCTTACGCGCCTGTCACAGGTGCCTGCAGAATTCCAGACACAGGTCCCTACTAATGCCAATCCTCCGACCCTTACAATGGCCATCACCGCATTCATCGCCCGTCTGCAGTCGTCTTCAGGCCCATCGGACGCAGAACTGGGAATGGACTTGGGCATGGGAGGCTCGCAAGTGCCTCTCGCGTCCGGTGAAAACGTCCGCTCCGGGGCTGGCAGCAAGTATTTGGAGTCTCCCGAGCTCGCGCAGGCGTTCCTTAGGTCTATTTACAAGCCTCTGAAACGCCACTATGAGTGGTTCCGTCGTACCCAGCGCGGTCAAATCAAGCAGTACGGGAGGAAAGCTAGGTCACGCAGCGAAGCGTACCGCTGGCGAGGAAGGTCTGCTACGCATGTGTTGACTAGCGGTATGGACGACTATCCTAGGGGACCGCCGAGTGCAGGAGAACTGCATTTGGATCTTATATCATGGATGGCCTTCTTCACGAGGACCATGAGGGAGATCTCAGGGTTCCTTGGCGAAGAGGATGATGCGGCGTCCTATGCAGAAATTGAGACTGCTATCCTGAACAACATCGACGGTCAGTCGAAGGGTTCCATTGTCTTCGTTAACTGTACATCCAATATGTTCGTCTCGCAGATTTGCATTGGAGCGAAGAGAACCAGATGTACTGTGATGTGGGCGTCAATGATGAAGGTAACTTCACTCGTTTAGTTTATCATCACTCTCTCTTGAACCGTTCCTTTCAGATGAATCGTACCATGTGTGCCATAAAGGCTACCTATCTATTTTCCCTTTCCTATTGTCGCTCCTGCCACCCGAGTCACCTCAGCTTGGGGCCATTCTCGACCTGGTTCGGGACCCTAAACATCTCTGGTCTCCGTATGGATTACGGAGCCTGTCCGCATCTCACCCGGAGTTCGGGCAAGGAGAGAACTATTGGAAGGGTCCTATCTGGATACAGATGAATTATCTAGCTTTACGCGCTCTCCACCAGGTGTGTTGTGCTGGTTGAGCACCCGGTTTCCTGTGCATTCATAACCGTTTTCAAGACCTATGCCAACCAGCCAGGTCCTTATCAGAAGCAGGCCCAAGAGATCTACGTCGAACTCCGAAGGAACGTCGTCGATAACGTATACAAGGTTAGTGGATCATCGAGGATATTGGTGCCTAGAGCACGACTCATTCTGCCATCCAGGAGTACAAGCGCACGGGATACGTCTGGGAACAATACGATGCGCTCACGGGCGAGGGTAGAAGAAGGTAAGACGTCCCCAAATGGTGCATTCTACCGTATCTCACTCGTGAATCCTAGTCACCCTTTCACCGGATGGACGTCTATGGTTGCCTTGAGTAAGTCGGATTAGTACATGCTGTTGGCGATAAATACTGACGTCTATGCTATTCAAAAGTATTGGCGGAAAAGTATTACTAAGGAATGATAGTCACCTAGGCTCTGTATTTATTGCATTGCTGGAATGCTGAAAATTGGATCCTTTTCCATATCCATTCCGATGGCCGCCCTGCGGCGCAGCCGCGAACGGCCTGGAGGCTCAAGAAAGCAAGTACATGTGTTCTGCTTAACGCGCGGAATCGAAAGAGGGACCTAAATATACATGGGGAACGTGTTGGATATAATAAGATGGTATCAAGCCATGCAATGGTATGAATGCTCTACGAGTCGTAAGTACCACATTCAACAAGGAATGAATCCAAAGACACGCACTTTGTACATGCGGAATTCTCATGTCTATTTGGTCCGTCTGGCGTCAAGATAGAGAAATGTCGAATTCCTCCGCATCGAAATGCAAGGAGTCGAAATGCAATGAATCCAGATGCAGTTCACCAACTTCTGCGGCTGTCTCTGAATTTGGCGATCCCTTCGCCGACGGATGCGTCATTGTCGACGTGGTCGAATTGGAGGTCGGGATACTGCTCGCCGAATTCTCGGGGGTCACGATGCCTAGTGAAGACAGATCCAAGCTACTAGACGCCGGCAACGAGGGGAGTGATGGGGACCGGAACTCGTCCGTAGGCGTAGCCAGCGCCTCTGACGAGCTCTCGGTGGGGCACGGAGAGAACTGGATGGAGCGTGAGTCCGGTGATATTGGCGTGGGGATGGGATATGGAGCCGGGACAGGACGGGCTGCGGACGGTTCGTCTGAGGGTACGGAGGACGGCGTGAATATCCGATTCAGGTTGAGCATGGAGAGGCGCCGGCTGAAGGAGCGTTTGATGGACAGTGTAGGCGAGACGGAGCGAGCTGGTTCTTCTGGAGCAACCAGACGAGGGGAGGAACCTAGCTCGTCTACTGAGGATGATGTCCCCGAACCAGAGGCGCCGGAAGAGCCGGCAGTGGAAGAGTTAGGTGACGGTTGAGATTCAGAGTCAGAGATGACAAGAGAAGCAGGTTCATGCGCTGCAGGCGCTGTGGCAACGTTGGTAGCAGAACGAGCACCCTGAGCGAGCGTGAACATGCTTGACAGAGGCCGAGATTTACGTCGCAACAATTTCCGGGGACGAGCTTCAGGGGTCTGTGATCGGGGAGCATTACCGCGCTCTGGGTGGTTCTCAGAGCGAATCGTGGTGGCATTAGATTCCAAACTTCCTCTGTATTCCTCGCTCCCGGCAAAGACATCCTTCGCATGAACCTTGCGGCTGCTCTTACCAATGTTCTTGATGGACCTGAAAGCCTGCGAGGCCCTGGACTTCAGCGTCATGCCTTGCGACTTTCGCAACACTTCCTCTTCCAGTCTTCCATCAAATATGTCGCCCATGCCTTCATTCTTCCTGACCTTGATCACCTCTATAATCTCGGAATCCTCGCCCGCCTCGTAATACCGCCTTGCTTCCCTCACGGCGTTCTCCCATTGCTGCGCCGTATGAGACTGCCCATCTGCACGTCGGGGCATCACCATATCGTGGTCCCAGTCGCTCTCGTATGGTCTGTGGAAGGTGGGCGAGTCGGGGCTTTGATGGACTAGATTCATGGCGACATCCAGGCAGTCCATGTCCGTAAATACATACGAATCTTCCTCAATAGGTGCTGCAGCATCGAAGCAACAGTATGGCGGTGAATGTGCTTGTTCTTCCTCCGGAGGAATGACAAAAACATTGGGAAGCGGCAGGGATGACGGCGAGTCGGGTGTAAGGCCTGGTTGCGGTGTGTCGGGGTTGGACGGGAGAACTGCTGCCATCTCAAAAGAAAAGGAATGAAATAATGAAGGAGCGTGAGGGGCGCGAGACAGCAGATTCTGTAAGTAGGCAAGAAAAGAGGAGACGACGCGCCGGCCTTGTCAGCCAAGCTGGATGGGTTGAAACACTTGCGCGCTCGATCGCAATGAACCGTTCTTGCTTAGTCAGCCAAAGCCTCCGGCATCATCCCTCTCCGCCAATCACAGACCTCCGAGCTCGACAAAGTCGTCGACGGGTACGGTGGCATAGACATTCACCGTGGTCATAAGGTACTGTAGTCTCCGGTAGGAAGACGGAATTGCCTCCCTTTGCGGCAGGCGAGAGGTCCTTCGGCATGTCATGAATACATCCTGGTGCTGTCATATGCACGTAAATGCAATACTTATTCCATATTGAGGAAGTCCCGAATACATCATGAACAGTCGTAAGTCTATGGTGTTGTCTATGTCTATGCTTGTTCCTTCCCCTTATCTTTTCTTTCATTCTCCACAAAGGTATCATCACGAGCCAAGGAATTCTCCCGTACCGAGGGGACATCATCTTTGTAGGCATACGCCGATTTGCTACGTATCCACCGCCCATATCTCTGTAGACAGGTGTAACTTTAGAGTCAAAGCTCAACAGTTAAGTTACTCACATAAAACAAATATGGCATAGGCGTGCAAAGAAGCGCCAGGAATCCGAACACACTACACGCCCACTGATCACCCAGCTTCTTATACATGAGCGGGCAGAATAGAGGGAAGGCAAAGGCGCCCATGGAGCGAAGTACGACCGTCGCAGCGATTGCGCTGGCAAAGTAGATATGATAGGCGTCCATGAGGTACGCCGTTATGCCCTGCATGACTTGCGCACAACCCGTACCGAATGGCACACCCGCAGCGACGGGTAGCATCCAGTGAACCGAAGGCTGACTTGTCCTGCCAGAGCAGTATCAGGATAAATTCGACCGGAAGTAGTGCCGTCTCACCATGCAAACCAGAACAGGCCTACAGGCAGAAGGCCCGCCACTCCCATCATCAAGTACAGACGTCTATATGTAGACCGTTAGCCATGTATCTCGATCATGCAACAATTTGATTTCACCCACGCTTCAGGGGGTGCCCTACCAGTTGGGCTTCTATCCATCGCGCGCCAGTACATTCTGTTCTGTATGGGTGTCATGCACGTCCCAATTATGGTACCGACACCGACGCCGAGGAAGGCAAGTCCGCCATTGCCGGGGGTAAAATGTCTGTGTTGTTGGAAAACGATGGGGAAGGCCGCAAAGAACGCATACAAAGTGGAATAAGCGATACAGACGTATATTGACAGAAGCGTCACTATGGGCTCCGTGAACAGGAACACTACGAATGCTGGATCAGAGAGTGGACGTCAACTGCGTACACATGTCTTACAGAATGGTCTGCTCAGATTGATCTGCAGCTTCTCGAAGAGCGACGCCGAATGGTGGATTTCGTACTTGGACACGTAATGAATAAGACCACCGGATCCCTTCTCGAGCATCCGAGCGCGCCTCCGCAACAGTACTGGTGCGTACTGCAGAGGAGGTCACTATGTTGAATGAGACGGAACTGAATAGGTACATACGGTTTCCGGGGTCACCAAGAACCCATAGATCAGAGTGACTCCTGAGACAATCATCATAATCCAGAAGCTGAACCGCCATCCCAGGGACGGGGTCTGCGACACAAATCCACCCACAATCGGCCCAATGACTATAGATGTTCAACAAAAGATAACCGGTATGAAGTAGCGTAATTACCCGGTCCCAGCCACGGCGCGGTGGCATATAGCGAGGTAGCGACGCCGCGCTCTCTAGGGTTCCATATATCCGAGATGGCTCCTCCGGCGTTGGTCAGCGCTACGGGGCGCAGTCAATGAGAGAATAGCGCTGGACAACATGTGGACTACGTACGGGAGGAACCAAACACGCCTGCAAGAAATCTGGTAGACAACAGAGTCGCGATATTGTGCCCCAGAGCGCCGCCCAAGTGCATCAAGGTATATACAGACATCGTTATCAGGAATATGCGTCGCTATTTCTGGTCAACGGTTAGTATAGCTATGGTGAGTTATCGCTCACCCTTCCATACATCTGTCCAAGTGACCTCTACATTTAGTGAATCGTTTACAATAGTGCTAAAATGCCCTACCTCGCCCAATGGCGCGAAAACGAGCGGTCTAGAAATTATGAGAACACGGGAGGCGAGAAAGGACGAACGTAGCTTACCCTAGCCCAAACCCGAGGACGTACAAAGATATACCGAGGACAGCAACCTCTTCGGATACGTGGAACATGCTCTCTGTAAACCTCAGGCCCCCGCTGTAAGCACTACTACCGAATGACACCGTCCAGGTCGAAATGGCTAGCTAGAATTGATATCAGCTCATCTGTCACTATCTGTTCTCGCTGGACAGGGTACCTGCGACGTTATGAGCCACTTTCGCCGTTTCGGCCAGTTATAGGGATTTTCTGGATCGTTACGGTCCCAATCGACGATATAAGGGTTTTCACGCGTGCCCGCTCCAGCATAGCGGACCTCTTGCATTGGAGAGGGCGCGACTGCGGCGTTATGCTGGCCAGCGGGGTGGGAACTAGCTTCGTGTGCCATGAATTCCACTAGTAGGCCACAGAAGACCTCCACTGGTATACGACCTAGGTCAGTTAAGTACACCTGCGACTCCAGGAAAGCGGAGGATCCATGCCTCACCTTAGCGCGTCCTCATGAGACGACGCCTTCCCCCCACATGCCGTAGGGACTATATACGCATCTTTGTATTTAACATCAGGCGGCAGCACAATCTTCGGGTTCGGCAGGAGGAGTTCGGCAGCAAGTCTGCCGAGGAAAGGAATGCCGTACTGAGCGGTGCGGTAAATAGGACCAAAGCATAGCGACGCGGTATTCACGTGCATCCGTTGCAGCCATACCTCCATTGGTAGTAGTGTGCGAGCGATCCACTCGTGGAGGCAAGCTGAGAAGAGTAGAGCACCTTCGCGAAGGCCATACATTGCATTGAACAGTTACTTCATTCATACTGACTATTAAGCACAATGGACACAGATGCATTTGAACATACGCCATGCAGAGCAACCGCGACCTGATGTATACAGACATGTATGGAGGGAGGGGGAGACATTCGGGGTGTATCGATTCAAGAATAATAAGCGAGAGAAGAGAGACGATGAAAAGAACACAACAAACCGCTTGGCCAGGCGCGGTGGAACAAGAAAAATAAGAGCAACCTAATCCAAGTGTATCTTGAGCTGCTCAGCAGGTATAGGAACAAAATTGTCCAGTGAAATGCCCCGTGAGGCCAGCTCAGGCTCGGCGTGCGGTGGGACGAGCTTGCGATTGAGGTCGGGACGAATCGAGAGTTCTGCGGGGAACTTGTTAGCCACATATTACGCATGAGAACATACTACATCTCCTTACCTTCCCGTGTAAAGTTGAACAAGGGAGGGAAATCTTTCCCGTTCGGCATCCGCGCACCCTCCACACGAAGCTCGTCAAAGAATTGATGGCACATGGCTTCTACAGCGCTCAGGCGAGCCTCAGGTGTGTACTCTAACAGTTTAGACACCAAATCGATCGCTTCCTGAGGCGTCCGAGGCCGGAATACCTGCAATCATGCTTATTAGACGCCAGACTTGGATCGGTGATGATGTCCTTACCTTCGAGAAGGGGTGTGGCTTGATCTGAGGGAACTTGTGCTCCATGTAGTTCGGGTTCATCGTCTTGATTTGCTCTCGCGAAGGGGTCCCGAGAACCTTGATAATCTCGACCAACTGATCAATACCGCTTTCGCCGGGGAACAGAGGCTGGCCCAACATCAGCTCGGCCATGACACAACCAGTTGACCATATATCTACCAGCAGAGACCATCAGTAACGGGACTCAACTGGAAGCAATGGAACCATACCGATGTTGGTTGTGTAGTTTGTAGCTCCGAATATGAGCTCGGGCGCACGGTAATACCGCGAGCAGATATAACTAACGTTGGGCTCCCCGGCCACCAAAATCTTGGCAGAACCAAAGTCGCACAACTTTAGCACGCCGGTCGATGGATTGAGTAGGAGGTTCTGGGGCTTGATGTCGCGATGACAGATCCCGACTGAATGAATGTAAGCAAGTGATCGGAGGAGCTGATACATGTACAGTTTGATTTGCAGAGTTGGCATTGGTTGCTTCAGTTTGGCATAGTGGCGGCTAGCCCGGTAAACAGTCTCCGGAACATATTCTAACACGAGATTGAGATACAGTTCATCCTTCTGTATTATGATGAGGTAGAAAACTCGTAGCCATGGATTTCCGGACTCACCTTGTCACCAGGAGAATAGAAGAAAGCACGGAGATCTACCACGTTTGGATGGGAGACGAGTCGCATTATCTGCAGTTCACGGTTCTATTTCGCAACACATTCGCCGCAATGCAATATACTGTCAGCATCATGGCTTGGTCAAGCCATATCAAACCATAGGACTTGACGAGGCTAACGGAGGAGAACTGTACGCACCTTGAACCGCTTGTCCTGAAGGACCTTCTTGATCGCAATACTCTCGGTCTCCTTCGGAGCGCCTACAAGCCTAGCTTGGAAGACAACGCCGAAAGACCCATTCCCGATGACCTTGCAGTCTGAGTATTGTATCTTGCGACTCTCGCCCGACTTCCCATCTGACGCAATCACCTCCACCACTTTGTGGGGATCGTCGATGGCTAAATGATGAGCAGGTAGTGGCGGCATGGCAAGTCGGAAGGAGGTTTATACGCAGCAAAGGAAGGAAGCGCGCAGAAAAGATGGGGGGATGCGGGGAGGAATGGGAGGCAAAATTAGAACGGGAGTCCGACGACGCAAACTGAGGGCAAGACGTGGGACGCACGAGAGATCTTTACACCGTTTATGGGTCCGTGCGTTGCCATATCAGACCGGAAACTCGGAGTCGACTGTTATTAATCTTCAGAAGCTAAAGACGCCGAGGTTTGGCTAGGCGGAGGATGGGCGGCAATGGGGCGTGAATGCGACGGATGTGGACGGGAAACGGAATTGCGGACACTTGACTATGCGTGAAGATGGTACGATAAAGACAAAGCAGGGATATACAGCAGATGGCAGGTGGTCGGGGGGAAAGGAGATGCAGAGGGAGAGGACGAGAGAAGGCACTGGGCAAAACACGTCCTGTGACCGATACGCCAGCGCCCAAACACGGCCAAACACGCCCCATTCATTCTGGCCACTGCGGAGGCGGACTTGCTCTGGCGCGCTGATGCGCTTACCCTGCGGGATGTTCGGGATTCCAACACACGGCGCGCTCGCCCTGGATCGAGGTAATACCACGAATTTCTGCTGCTATTTGCTGGCCACTCTCTTGCACGTCTTGCACACCCGGAGCTCGAAAGAGGCCCCGAATGCTCAATAATCTGAAGCCAGGCCGCGCCCCGCCTCGATCATCAATTCAGCTAATGCCCTGGACAGTGGGAACGGCGGTTGTTGGCTGGTCGTTTCCAGATGTCTGTCTGCCATCTTCTACCAGCCAGGCTGGTCCCGCGTCCCATGCACAGCAAAGTCACGAAGGGTCTCTGGTCGTCGCATCCCTTTGGAACCAGATGCGCCACCGAGGGGACCGGAATAGACCTGACCTGCACTCCCATCTACCAACGTTACTCCAGAAATTTGTGTTACTGACTCCGATCCTTCCGTCTTGGGTTGGTCCCTCGCGCCTCCCTTGAACCCAATCACGTTACCCTAATGGGCCGCCCACCAGCTGACCGCCTTCGAAAGCTCCTGCGCCTGTCTTTGTCTCAGTAAGTGACGTCTTCTCCGCTGATCGCCCGCAATCAGCTCAGATTCGGGGCCCTGGAATCTTGCGTGTGCCCGCCGTGCCCTTATCGCATCCGAAGGCCATCACTATCCCGTACGGTATCTTGCGAGAAATTGGGAGCTCATCAACCTGAAGTTCTGCTATTGAAGAGGCGCTCTCACGTTCCCTCCTCTTGCCCCGAAAATTGCTCGTCAGGTGAGACAATCCTGCGTGTCAACTGGGATATCAGCAGGGTGATGCTTAGTGCAGAATGTAGCACTAAAGAATCAAGCTTGTCATAAGACCCGTCCATGTTCTACTCTCTGCAAAGCTTGTATCGATGAGTTTGCCGGGCATTCACTGTGGATGCACCAACGATCCCTTATCATTGGACGTACCTCTGAGTAGCACCGCCCTTGGCACCCCGTCTGGATCAACGCGACGCCCTAGTATTCCTACTTACCTTCTACCGCGTCCCTCGAAACACGGAAGGCACTCGAAACAACATATCTCCTTACATGACGCTCATGTGCCTCCCGCAGCCTTGTGCGTCAGAGCGGCTTAACCTGCGGACTGATATCCTCCGCGTCTTCATCTATACTACTGACACCGTCAAATGCTCCGATACAGCTTTCCCATATTATTTATAGGCTCACGGAGGGATTCCTGAAGTTCGCGGAGTATGTCTCCCGCCCAGGGGTCGGTGATCACCGGCATCGTGGAGGCTATAAGGCTTCCTGAACCGTTCTGAAAGGAACCGACGATACCGCCGGGATGTGCGTTGCTCCATATGGTCTCCGACGGATGTCTCCTGCGAATGCCGTACTGTGGGGGGATATTGACACCGATTCACTTTCAATTACGCTCCCAGTCAAGAAAGGGCCGTCTGGCAAAGCCACTGCCCCGGCAGTCCGCTGTAGACCATTCCAGCGGCATCAAAATATAACTTGCGTTTCATGCCGGGAGTGCACAGCGGAATTGATTCAATGTCATAGCTGATAATATACATATATTATGCCCAAGACACTACTTCACATGGCTACCAACTTATTCGTTACTCAACTTACCCAACAATTCGGTGCACAACGCCGGAGAAAACCGGAGACGCATTGAAAGATGCGTTCGCGAGTTTCCGAACATCAGCGACCTCCAGGATGAACTCGGGAAATGTCGTACTTTGTTAGTGGGTTTATTATGACTGGGTCCTGGCATGAAGAACATGTCAGCCGAGCGTAAACCCGCATTGCGGGATCGGGGCAGGCGACTTTTCAATATTGGCACAGTGAAAGCACGTCTTGTGGGTGTCGAAGAGCCACATACCCATCGGGTATTTCTGTACTGACCGAGCTTACCCGTATTCTATCGCCTGTGAAGTTATCGTGTCTACACCCGCATTATCATCCACCGCGCCGCAGCTATTTGATGAGAGAAAGCCAAAAGATACTATACTTGGGGCTTTTCCCAACCATAACACGGAACCAAAGCTGCCGGAAAGTAGAGGGGCCATTTTCCTAGGACCCTTGACGAACACCTATGATCCTGGTCAATTCGTAGTCAACAGACATACTCACTGATACTTTCTCGAGCAGCTTCCTAATTTCTGGGTATTCCCCGAGGTCAAGGAACCGCTATCTCCTAGTCATGATCCAAGTCAACCGCAAACTTACTTGCCATTTTAGCTGTGCTTCGACTGGAGCGGGAGAATGAGCTCGGGCTACTGCGGTCTGGTTCGAGGGACAGGGGAATCGTCGTCGTGTCCTCCAAGCCGATTGCGCAGGGGCGTCGCCATAACACGAACTTGTGGCGCTGGAAGGGGCCAAGAACCGTCTGACGTCTGTCTGGCAACTAGTCGTCTTGTGATGGCGAGCTATTTTGTGGTGAGACCATCTACCGCACCGGGTCGGGCAACTCAAACCCCGGGGATGTTCTCGGTGCTTCAACACATACAGTGGATTCAGGCAGGATTATTGATTCGTTGTGAGTTGATATACTAGATGCAATACCTCGCGGGCAGACAATAATGGTGATTAGACATGCGGAGAAGTATAAGTAAGAGCTGATGTCGAGACTCAACTGGCAACATCCCTCAGCCAGAGAACGCCACCGGATCGGATTCAGACTCACCTCGTAGGTTACCGTAGAATAGCAGAGAAGGGTGCACCGCCGGAACCTGATTCAGCTAGACGACGTTAGGCAGATCTTGTGCAGCAAGCCGTAGAGTATGGCCTCTCGCCGTCAGCGCACAAGAAGCAGCCTCAACATGACCTCCTCGCTGGGCAACCTGGAATCCTGGATGGATTCTGGTTGTAGTTAATCGTTGGACTTGTCGGATGAGGACATCCCCGCCACCAAGTACTTTCTTATCTTACGTAACGGGTGTTGCGCCATGTCGCGTGAGTCCATCGCAAGTTGTGGTCCTAGCTGACGACCCTCTCGGTGACTACGACCTTACAAGAGCCCCTTGCCTTCCTCTCTATCTCTCTCTCCGCCATGCAATCGTCCTCTGCGTCAAAGACATCCCTGTACGTCTGCGACACCATCCCGCCAGCCCGTCTGGCGTCTGCCGACGATAGATCATCGCCTCCGCTGCCAAATAGTCCTGTTCCCAGCACTACCTTCGATTTGCTAGCCATCGACGACGATACGAGAATGTCAGCGGAACAGTCGCGAATGGATCTTGCGGACAAAGAAGGGGCGGTGTCTGAAAAGGAACGCGGAAAGTCCATACCTCCGCCGCAACCGCCTGCACGCAAGCTGTGCGTTAGGCATCAGAGGATAGCGGATGAAGGTACTTTGTTAAAGCTTCAAAGGGTGAGTATTGCTTCATTCATTCAAGAACCTGCCCTCGTTGTCTCCGTTCGACGGATTCGGTGGGACGCTCTGCTGTTCACAAAAGACACGTACCATTGTGCCATGTTTACAGTGCCGCCACTGCCGCGTTTGGATATATTACTGAGCTTACTCTTTTCAGGCTCTCGACGCCTTGCCAGTAGAAGACAGAGAGGCAATCAACACCGTTTGGTCCATATTTTCTTCCTCACCCCATCCTCGTCGAGCACTCATATTACAAGGGGTCCTCACCATGTGCTGCTTCTCTCAGTTGTCTTTCCTCACCGAGGAACTCAACCAGCTCATCCGCATCGACCCCTTCACCGTGTTTCCCCGTGAAGTCTCCCTCAAAGTACTAGGATACCTAGACGCCACTTCGCTGTGTCGAGCGGCTCAAGTCAGCAGGCGGTGGAAGAATTTAGCGGATGATGATATCCTGTGGCGAGGTATATGTGAGCAGCACATAGGGCAGAAGTGTCATAAATGTGGATGGGGTCTGCCCATATTGGAGAAGCGTCGGATGGTCCGCACTTCATCCTCGACCTGTATTCCCTCGCCTTCGGCGCAGAAACGCGAGCTGGAAGAGACGGATGAGTTAGGACGGCGGCCGAAGAAACAAAGGTACGATACTCCTATCCCGGAGTCTCAGCTTTCCTCCTTCAGCGCCTCCACATCGCAATGCCGACCACCCACGCCGCCGAACGCTGTGCCGCCCATTCCGTCTCCGGCTCTTCGCATCACGCGCCCGTGGAAGGACGTCTACTGCGAGAGGCTCACAATTGAGCGTAATTGGCGGCGCGGGCGGTGTACTGCGCGTACACTGCAGGGTCACACAGATGGCGTTATGTGCTTGCAGTTCAGCGAGACCATGTCGCACCCCTCTTTCCCCATCTTGATCACTGGCTCTTACGATCGCACCGCCCGAGTCTGGAATATGGAGACAGGCGCGGAGATCCGGTGTCTAAAGGGCCATACCCGGGCCGTCAGGGCGTTGCAGTTCGACGAAGCCAAATTGATTACAGGTAGCATGGACCATACGATCAAGGTGTGGAACTGGCGCACAGGTAAATGCATGCGAACACTGGAAGGCCACTCCGAAGGAGTGGTCTGTCTAAACTACGACGACAATATCCTCGCCAGCGGCAGTGTCGACTCCACCATCAAAATCTGGAATTTTCGGACGAAGGAGTGTTTCACGCTCAGAGGACACAGGGACTGGGTGAACTCGGTCCAGATCTGGGACTCGGCACCGGCGTTGTCCAAGAGCAAGTCACCGAGTGTGTCCAGCTCGCATTCTTTTGACTCGGCGTTCAGCGACACGACCTCGGCATCGACCACGTCGACGCCGTGCATTGACCCCGGCAAGATGCTGTTCTCCGCCTCTGATGACGGCACCATCAGACTGTGGGATCTCACGCTGCGATCATGTGTGCGTCAGTTCACTGGCCACGTCGGCCAGGTACAGAGCATGAAGCTCCTTGTCCTGGATGAATGCGACGACGAGCCGGGGGAGTCTACGCCGGAAGAGATGAGTCCAGAACCATCATCGGTGGCGTCTTCTAGCATGCCATTATACGAGCAGGCTTTGGCGTCTATGACGGTCCCGTCCGACCAAGCTAGCTCGTTATCAGGACTGGCGTCCTGCGATATTCTACCGAGCGCATCTTTAGGTTCTGCATCGTCAGCGCCTGAAGCCTCTAAGCTTCCTATGCCAAAGCGCTCCAAGCCGCTTTTGGTATCAGGAAGTCTCGATAACACCATAAAGCTATGGGATATAGAGACGGGGAAAGTGGTCCGGACGCTGTTCGGTCATATCGAAGGTGTCTGGGCGGTCGCGAGCGACAAGTTACGCCTGGTCAGTGGAAGCCACGACAGGACGATAAAAATATGGATGCGAGACGAGGGCAAGTGTACTGCGACGCTCTTTGGTCATCGTGGAGCTGTGACCTGTCTCGCCCTTGGAGAGGATAAGATAGTGTCGGGAAGCGACGATGGTGATGTCAGGATCTGGAGTTTCGCTGGCTGATTAGCAAGCGTAACTCCTGCGCTCCTCGCTTTTGCTGTGAGATCTCCCTTTGACTGGACCGTTTCGCTCGTCATTTGTAGCCGTTCGCGTACATGATTAATACAGTGCTTGTAATTTACGTTCATACAGTGTCTTACTTAATATGACAATCAGAATGGTATTGATCATATTCAAGACTGAACCAATGACAGTGATAGGGCGGAACCCTCCTGCAGACGGCATTCGCAACGACATCGAGAGCAGCAGGAAAGAACTAGGAAGTTCCATGTCGCTCTGGGAACCCAAGAATCTGTAGAGCCACCAGAGTGCGATCCTTTGACTGCTTCGCCTTCAACTGCAGACTTCTGGCTTCAAATTGGTCATCTGACGAAGTATCCTTAGGCGAAGCGTTCAATTGATACTCCATATATGCGAACACGGCTGGGTCATGCTGTTTGTCGAGGTCAGGCGGGTGGAATTGTAGCATGTCGTCTACATGTCGAGCCAACTGTTTGCAATGGCTGTAGTTGATGAGATCCTGGCCATCAACCGTGACCAACAGGCCGCTGGTGCAGCTTCTTTGCACATCGGACACATGTACGGCTGAGATTTCGTGTCAGATGGGCTCATGAAATCTGCGGTGAAGTGCACCCACATAAAATAGGAACACAGGCCTTGCGACAATCCTCTACAGCCTTACGATAATGCTTGTAATCGTTTTCATCACTAATAACACGTGCCATCCTCTTGAAAGTCCCGTTTCTGTTCTTGATGCCCAAGCTACAGGTCAAGTCAAGCCTGGCTATCGTCGGAGACAGTAGGGCATTGAGTATCGCAGCCATGGAAGAATAGTTATGGCATTTCTCGCATTCCTGAGGCTAATCAGTATGAATCCCCGAACACGGTGCAAAGAACTAACTCACCTCCGCAGTATCGAAGAAAAACCCGACGACTGAACCCCGAGAGAAAATGTAATCAGGACGCAGAACAGATCGCTTGACCCAATTATGAAGTCGCATGCTTGTCTCATATGCAATGTCGATGTTATTGCGGACTGGGGGTTCACGAAATTTGAGAACACAGTCTGAGGAACGTATATTCCGATACCGCTGTCCTTCCAATATCGTCAAAGCAATGGCTAGCTGACGAGCGCTGACATCTTCGCCCTTAGCTCTGACACTCTTGACAGCGAGAGGAGAAGGTGACACTCGCAAGAGGGTACTATTCCTTTCCAACTGCGAGTACTGTTGGTGCTAAGTCCGGGCAGTTTCATGGAGAGTACTTACTCTTTGGCTGAGAATGGCTACGATTTCTCGCGCGACAGGCGGGGCATAGGTGCCAGTGTGGCTTCTGATAGACCCAACAAAGGCTCGCATGTCCTCCAGAAGATCAGTTTCTGTGTCAACATCATGGGATCGGAGCCAGCTCTTCAGGAAGCTCAAAACGCTAGGTCGTCAGCCTTAATGGATGCTTAACTCGAACGACAAACAGCAACAAACTCACGCAAGACGGGTGGCATTACGGTGTTGCAAGGGGAGATCGCGATTTTCTTCGAACTCGGTCGCACGAAAGCGGTCAATCATCAACTGATACAACTCTGCAGGCATGAGGAAAAGACGATATGTCTTGATAAATATAGCCCGATAATTCTCCCCTATGAAAGTGTTTGGATGACGTGAGGACTCGGTCGTACCACCTTACACACACCTTCACTTGCACTTCCATCAAGCAATTGCTCGATCAGTCCTTGTGCTGTTCCACCGGCAATACTATCGTCGTGAGCAACTTGCACGTCGTATCCCGGGTCATTCACGGCATTGCGGATGTTTTCTGGGAGTGAAGCGATACCAGGAGCCAAATGAGGATGACTTAAAGACGCCGTACTCCCAGAGCGAGACACGCTCGGCAACGTAGCTGGCGCTTGGCCTCGAAGCAGAGACGGACTCAACAACGGCGACGACGGCGACTGTCCCGAAACTGGACTTGAAGGGACAGGCAGGGGAGTTCTGCCCGTTTGCCGGCGCTCTTCACCGTTGCGAATACCGGGAAGAGACTCTCGAGATGGCAATGACTCTATGGACTGGCCCTGGCTCATGGAACCGATGCTCGAAGAGGATCTCGCCGTTCCAGGCCGTGAACCGGGACGGTCCGGATTCTGCTGAGGGCGGGTAATGCTTACGAGGCTTTTGCCCGTATCAGCTAGAGTACCGGCCGGCACGTTAGCAGGATCTTCAGGCTGCCAAAATGTAGAGTGTTCCGATGCAGCGGGAGAATGAGGCAAGGAACCAACGAGACCTGTAGCAGGATCCACCGAAGGATTATTTCGGCGAGAGTACCTGTGCCCAGCGGACCGCGTGGGCATTTCCGTATTGGAAGGCAAAGTACGTTGCGTGGAATCTTCCTCCGACGTCCGCTGCAAGGGGCTACGCAAGGGAATGGGTCTGTCCGTAAGAGAATGTGGAGGTGGATCTGCGGGCCCGGGCAATCCCACATCTGGAAGGGGGGGAGGCGACTCGGAGATAGGAACGCCAATCACTAGTAGAGAAGAGGTCAGAAAGAGTTTGGTGAGACAGGTATGCAGCACGGACCAGCTCCAGCGAATAGGCTGTGAGGGTCATTTTCAAGCTTCTTCATATGCGTTCGTACATCCGTCATAGATGGCCTCTCGTTGGGGTCGTGCTTCCAGCATGCCTCCATAAGGTCCCACAGACCGTCTGTCATAAGCGAGCCGTCAGGCCGTCCGGGTCGAGTCCCTTCCAGTACTTTGAAGGGAATTTCCATGTCCCGAGATATCTCGCAAAACGGATGCTGTCTTGTGATAAGCTCTAGGCAGACCATCGCAAAGCTCCATATATCGGTCTGCGTAGAGACAACCGCATGGACTCGATCGAACCGCTCAGGCTTGAAAAGCTCCGGCGCCATCCACCGCGCAGGAGTGACACCGGTCAACGTACTCGTGCCGCTATCGCGGACCTCTTCTATGACCTTCGACAGACCAAAGTCGGATATCAACGCTTTACCGGACTCAGAGATTAAGATGTTAGCCTAGGGACGAACGCAGGTCGTTGTCAGAAATCGAGCAAGTACTGTAATATGAACGTACACCGCGCAAATCTCCGTGGACTATCTTATTCAGATGAAGATATTCCAGTCCTTGCGCTCTGTTAATGTAGCCCACACGAAGAGGAAGAAGAGCAAAGGCCAATACCTGAGGCAACTTCATTCAACAGTCGCATACGATCGACACCTGGACGCTTTCGCACATAGTCGATAGCAGTTCCATTCTGCTGCCAAGGAGCAACCTGGCTCCACCAGTCAGTTTGCGTCACAGTCTACGTTTATACCAAACTTGCCATGAAAACATGTTGATCGTCGAGATATGCGATTCCATAGAGACGAGCGATATTGGGATGCTGCAAATGCCTCCATATTCCTACTTCTCGCTCAAATCTCTGTAAAACACATATGAACTTCGTTACGGCGGATCCCATTGGCGTCAAATGAGATATACTCACGTCCTGGTCTGCTCGGGTGGTGATTCCGCGAGGCAATTTCAGTCCTACCTGTACGCCGGGTCATTCAAATGGTACACTCCGAGCTATTCGCGACACTTACCCGCTCTTCACCCAGCCAAACTCCTTGATTGGAAACGTTAATGTGAACCTCTGTTGTTCAATTCGGGGCGACATACCGGTGTAGATATCACTGTAGTTTCCCGGAATGACCGGGAATTTGCTTGTGAGTACGACTTGACCCGTTACTGTATGCTGGTCAAACCCTGGCGTAATGTTGACTAACATGGCTGCTCACAATCTGTCAACGGGGGTAGTATCTTCGTTTCGCTGTGAACTTTCCACAAGCCCTGGACAAGGGCATCTTGACCTTGTTCCTCTTGATGCCCCGGAGATCGCCGTTCTCGTTCCAGTAGTTCCTATTAAGACCATGAATAGAATAAGAGAGGCAGTGACTGATGACTAACCTCCTGGATACTTCGCATGATGCCCTCAATGGCTGGCTTCTCAAGTCCAAGGATTGTCTTCATTTCGTTTCGGTCCCAAAGGATACTCTGCAAGAGCTCTCGCAGCTCGGCATGATCCCGGGTTTGCGCATCAGCTAGTTTAACTGTTTCTCCGTTGATGATTATATTCATAGAAAACTGGGGATTCATAGAGCAGACCCTGAGACTAGACTGCAATCTTGCGGCAGCGAATCACTTACGTTGAACTGGGTAACACATAATTCAATCTCGCGGTAGCTCTCGTCAATACCTTGCTTGATGCTACTCTGCTGCAATATGCTCCTGACGCGACTTAAGGACGCCCAAGTCTGAACTTTGTTTAGCACGTGGTAGATGGCACTGCAGAATTGTGAGAATCGGTCACTCCAGCGGATCGAAGTGCACATACCTCTCAACGTCATCCGCAGCGCGCTGAGCGTTAGTGCCCTCTAAATTACTAGAGCGGAGATTCTCATCAAGCGAAAGCAACAGTCTCCGACACCTGTCGGCTAGAACCATACACTGCTCCTAGAGTCCAAAGCTCAGGAGGATCCGCAAGTGACTGGACTTGACGACCTACCCGATAGATCTTCACATTCCGTATAACAGTGTAAATCTCGTTCACTGTTCAAAATTAATGGGCATCCACTATCGGGGTAAGAGAGAGGTCCACATACCAAGTTTAACTGCATGGTCCAGCCCTGGGTAGCAGTTGCCGATCCAATCAGTCAGTGAGGGTACAGGCGGCGGCATGATGGCAGGGAAGACAAGTGCATCTGCGAAGCTATATAGGCAACCCGTACTGGCGCGCAGGTATCTAGACGCCAAGGGGTATCATTGGAAGACAGCAGCCACTAACAGCGGCCCACAAAGAGCCACAACAGTCATGGTGACATGGGAATGCATAGCCAGCATGGCGATGCGGTCCCTACACACGATAAGAGCTGGTGATGAATGCAATGTGACCTATACCGTATACGAGACTTGTCCCTTGGCGGATATAATATAATATTTTACGCTTTTGTAAGTCGGTAGCGTGGCCGAGCGGTCTAAGGCGTTGGATTTAAGTTCTTGATTTGATTCCCAATGGGCGAAAGCCCGCGCGAGTTCGAACCTCGCCGCTACCAGCCAAAGTTAAGCTTACTTTTTTCCCCTGAGGAAGACAATCATGGACGCGCATTAGGTGTCTTACATGCGTACCATGACATTGGGTGCTAGGACACTACGGTCTTTGGCGCAGTCTCGACGATATCTGTCGACCACTAGGACGCTACCTTCTGCACAGTATACGGACCCCACGAAACGTCATGATATAGCTATCGTTTCGACTCCCGAGGATCTTCCTCCGAGCGAGCGGCATGTTCTGGATAGTGCACTGCGAGTTGACCAAGCTGGGGAAGTAGCGGCTAACTGGATATATCGCGGTCAGATGGCAGTACTTGGACGAGATCCTAATACTGGTCCTATCATCCAAGTGCGCCTTATCACCGCCTTTCGTTGGACTGATATATGACTAGCTGCGCGCAGGATATGTGGGATCAGGAGAAGAAACACATAGCAGTGATGAATCAGATGCAGGTTCAGCATCAGGTCCGTCCGACTGTCCTGTGGGAGGTTGCAAAGGTAGCTGGTTTTGGCTTGGGTGCGGTGACCGCCTTAATGGGCAAGGAGGCTGCGATGGCATGCACGGAGGCTGTCGAGACCGTTATCGGTGAACATTACGATGAGTACGCTACGTTTATACTGCATGGCTTTCGTCTCAATGACCGTCATAAATCAGCCAATTGCGGGAGATGGAAGGGCTTTCGACGTCACATCCGAGTATCCCATTACTGAAGGATGTCATCCGAGAATTCCGGGACGATGAACTCGAACATCTCGATACGGCCGTCGAAAACCATTCGCAAAGGGCACCGGCGCATGCCCTGCTGAGTACGGTAGTCGGGGCCGGATGCAAGGTTGCTATAGAACTGTGCAAGCGATTCTAGTAGACTGTATAATATTATGGCGTATACCGAAGTTATGACGATGCTTGTTGCGAGGGTTGGATTCGTAACGATTCGCCCTTCCGCTTTCCGTTGAAATTCCACTTATTCTGCAAGCCAGGCGGGAGGTAAGTACACAGAATATATGCCGAGAACGGTGCGGGCTCACGTCCGTCTGGGAGGCAAGGTATAGGACTGCACCCGGCACTATCACAACGCCGACGAGTGCAATGAACGTGTTCCGGGGGG